AATAGCCCAAAGCTTGGTGGTTTTTAGCATAATCTTTAGACTACACTTAACTCTGGGTAGAGATGAGAAAGGGCCACTGTAGATGCTATTTAACTGACAGAGTGAAATATCTGTTATTTTAAAAAAAAAACTGGATGATTTCTTCTAGAATGAAAATTATAGTGTATACCATTATATTATGTTGTTGACTTAATGACAAAGAACAAAATATTATTTAAATATATAACATTATCATCTGTTTGATGAATTTTCTTGACTTAATGCTTATTTAGGCTCAGTAAGGCATTCCTGGGAATTTTAATAAATGCTTCTTCCAACTTCACTTTTTCAAAAGTGTGTTTGGCTGCGGTATTCATAAATGTGGAATTTCTGCTGAATTGCTGTTTCAAAATAAAAATTCTTTGAGTAATTGTTACAAATGGTAACTTTAATGCATTTTCTTCCCTGTGGCTTTGGGAGAGATACGCAACAATAAATGATTGGGAATCAGAACATTCAAATTCTAGTCAAAGCTTATCTCTCACTGGGGCAGCCTCCTGATTTATTTCTGCTTACTTTCTCGTTTATACAGAGAAGTGAATGGCTCGTGTAATCTAAGGTTGCTTTCACCCTAATTCTCTGATTCATGTGGGTCTTCTGTGTGTGTGTGTTTGGGAGACAGAGTCTCACTGTGTTGCCCTCGGTAAAGTGTGGAGACAGTGCAGCTCACAGCAACCTCAAACTCTTGGGCTTAAGCGATTCTCTTGCCTCAGCCTGCCAAGTAGCTGGTATTATTTGGCTATTTTCTTTTTTTTTTTTTTTGTAGTTCTTATTGTTGTTTAGCAGGCCTGGGCCAGATTCGAACCCGCCATCCCCAGTGTATGTGGCCGGCGCCTTAACCACTTAGCTACAGGGCACTGAGCCTGGGTCTTCTGTATTTGAAGCTTACTATTTATTATCTCATGAAACTTTGAAGCAGGCCAAATGTAATTGTTATGGCAGGCAGAACTAAATCTTGTAAGAATAAACAGATTTTTTCCCCCATAAAAGTATTCTAGTCAATGGTTTTGTTTATTGTATTTTTCAGTTGTATTTTGAGTCAAGAGAACCACTTGGGCTGTTATCATTTGTGCTCCAAAAAGTTATAATATTTCAGAATAACCAACAAAGAAGATTCTGTCGAGAAAGCAGTTGCTCCCTTTTTGAAGACCCCCTTAAAGGTGAAACCCAGAGTAGACCTGGCACCTCTTGTGATGATTTTAAAATGGCAAGGTAGATGAGGAGTGTCATCCTTCAGGAGGCTGGCACCAAACAGTGTGGCTTGGCTCATTGAGCCCATGATTTGCTGCCCCCAAACCTTGAAGGAACAACGGGTCACAAAAAAAGTGGGGGGAAGGATGGAGGGGTGGAGAGAATGAGAATGTGTTCGTAGTGGTTGGGAGGAAGGAAAGACTGAATGCCTGCCAGGGGAGAGGGGAGGTTCATTACTTAAAGAATTTGTCACTAGATAGTTCCTTAATGTACCTTATAACAAAGAGATTGATAACCTCAGATATATTTTATAAGAGTTTTTTTGAACAACTTGCATATAGACGTGGTTTTGCTCATCCAGTCGGTGCTGGACATCAAACTCTATAAATGTGCCTTACTTAGCTTATTAAATGGTGATGTGATCGATGCTAATTAAAACTATGGTACCTGCTTTGCTGAAGACTGGTGTACAAGGTAAGAGTTGGGTTCCAATACAACAGGTTGCTTCCTACGGTTTCTGACTGGGGTAGGAAAATTGAATTACAGTGGATGTTTCATTGGAAAACAACCTAAAATCAAAGGGATGATATTTGTAGAACTTTAGTGCAACTTTCTCATCTAGCAAAATAAAAGGTCTGCATTTACAGAGTGTGGTAGTTTGGCTATTTGTAAAGGTTGATTTGTGAGGAAAAGGCATAATGTTACTCTTAACGGGCAGTAACTTAGGAGGCACGGAAGGTAGGGGAGATAACTTTAAATTACAGAGATTTAATGTCATTAAGGATTGTGAAAGGAATACCCTGAGTTCAGTTGCAACTTTTCTGTTGGAAATTATTGAATTCTCTGTAGACTGGGGTGGATAGTTTTCTCCTGGATTCCTAGTTT